CTGTTCTATTCTACTCTGTTCTATTCTGTTCTGTTCTACTCTGTTGTGTTCTTTTCTATTCTGTTCTGTACTAATCTACTCTGTTCTGTTCTGTTCTAATCTACTCTGTTCTGTTCTATTCTACTCTGTTCTGATCTATTCTGTTCTATTCTACTCTGTTCTGTTCTAATCTACTCTGTTCTGTTCTATTGTACTCTGTTCTGATCTATTCTGTTCTATTCTACTCTATTCTGTTCTGTTCTATTCTGTTTTGTTCTACTCTGTTCTGTTCTGTTCTATTCTACTCCTGTTCTATTCTGTTCTGTTCGATTCTGTTCTGGTCTATTCTGTTCTATTCTGTTGTTCTGTTCTATTCTGTTTTCTTCTACTCTGTTCTGTTCTATTCTATTCTGTTTTCTTCTACTCTGTTCTGTTCTATTCTATTCTGTTCTACTCCTGTTCTGTTCTATTCTGTTCTATTCTACTCTGTTCTGTTCTATTCTACTCTGTTCTATTCTGTTCTGTTCTACTCTGTTCTATTCTGTTCTGTTCTATTCTGTTGTGTTCTGTTCTATTCTGTTCTGTTCTGTTCTACTCTGTTCTGGTCTGTTCTATTCTACTCCTGTTCTGTTCGATTCTGTTCTGTTCTATTCTACTCTATTCTGTTCTATTCTGTTCTACTCTGTTCTGTTCTACTCTGTTCTACTCTATTCTGTTCTATTCTGTTCCGTTCTGTTCTACTCTGTTCTGTTCTATTCCACTCTGTTCTGTTCTACTCAGTTCTGTTCTATTCTGTTCTGATCTATTCTGTTCTGTTCTGATCTATTCTCTTCTATTCTACTCTGTTTTGTTCTGTTCTGTTCTACTCTGTTCTGTTCTACTCTATTCTATTCTGTTCATTTCTACTCTGTTCTGTTCTATTCTGTTGTTCTGTTCTATTCTGTTTTCTTCTACTCTGTTCTGTTCTATTCTACTCTGTTCTGTTCTACTCTTTTCTGATCTATTCTGTTCTGTTCCGATCTATTCTACTCTATTCTGTTCTGTTCTACTTTTTTCTACTCTGTTCTATTCTGTTCTGTTCTACTCTGTTCTGTTCTATTCTATTCTGTTCATTTCTACTCTGTTCTGTTCTATTCTGTTGTTCTGTTCTATTCTGTTTTCTTCTATTCTGTTTTCTTCTACCCTGTTCTGTTCTGTTCTGATCTATTCTGTTCTGTTCTGTTCTAGTCTGTTCTATTCTGTTCTATTCTACTCCTGTTCTATTCTTTTCTTTTCTGTTCTGTTCTGATCTATTCTTTTCTATTCTACTCTGTTCTGTTCTGTTCTAGTCTGTTCTGTTCTGTTCTATTTTACTCCTGTTCTATTCTGTTCTTTTCTACTCTGTTCTGTTCTATTCTTTTCTACTCTGTTCTATTCTGTTCTGTTCTACTCTGTTCTATTCTGTTCTGTTCTACTTTGTTCTGTTCTATTCTGTTCTGTTCTACTCTGTTCTGTTCTAGTCTGTTCTATTCTGTTCTTTTCTGTTCTGTTCTATTCTACTCCTGTTCTTTTCTGTTCTGTTCTTTTCTACTTTGTTCTACTCTGTTCTGTTCTATTCTGTTCTGTTCTACTCTGTTCTGTTCTAGTCTGTTCTTTTCTGTTCTGTTCTATTCTACTCCTGTTCTATTCTGTTCTGTTCTATTCTGTTCTATTCTTTTCTACTCTGTTCTGTTCTGTTCTACTCTATTCTTTTATGTTCTATTCTGTTCTACTCTGTTGTGTTCTATTCTATTCTGTTCTATTATATTAATGACCACACGCTGTCGTGACTGTTTTCAACACATTTGCCAAATACAACAATCACTGGATTTCTTTGTTCATGATTTGCATTCTGCTGAGGCTGCTTAAAGTTTCTCAGCCCTGAACCAGTTTTCATGTGCGTCTTATTACAGTACATTGCCGAGCTATTTCTAAGGTTATGTGTGTAATTGCTGGTACATGCACTAACTTTAAGCTTCAAACAAGCCGGTTATGTAACACCACGTTAGCAGGACTTCATTTGTGTCAGCCTTTGTGAAAGCTCGTTTTTCCTGTGTTGGCTGTGAGAGTGGCACCTGTGGCTCACTAGGTGAAGTTATGTGGGGTTGCTCCTGCCTCGGGTGGAGAAACGATCTGATAAATTGCTGACGTAGCTTAACTTGCAGCTGGGAAGAGGGCTGTGTTTTCCAAAGACACAATGCAGCATGCCTGCTTTTATTTTGGTAGACTTCATTATTAAAGACAAATATTCATTAACTTAACAAACATGCATTTACTAAAGTTTATAAAGGAGTCTTTATGGGGCTTTCGTTTACCATGTGGTAGGGACCTGGGCCGCCGTCGTGTACGGATATTCTCCAACAATCAGGCGATCCCTGTAAGAAGCATTCAACAACAGCGGAGAAAGCTCAGGCAGAAGCAGGCTCAGGGAGAGGCTGTTGTGCTGCCACCAGCTGTGGGTGAGGAGAAGACGACTGCGGGAGACAGGTCAAAACATGCATTATGGGAAAGAGTGCGAGAGTTTAATAACTATTAACGAGTATAAACACATGGGAAGTAAAGGGAGCAGAGGAAAAGCTCAGAGAAAAGAGAAGAGCATAGGACACAAGGAAACATGGCGTGCACTACAGTGATGGCCATCGTTGGAAGCCCCTCAGCAGGTCTTTTAGATGTGACGGGGCCTCATTGTTCAACATCTCATATGTAAGGAGACGATTTTAAGGAGACCCTAACTCAGCGAGGAGAAATGAATATGCTGCAGCGTATGAAGCTTTTTAATCAACAGCCTGATGATTGTTGAAACCTTTGACAAGAGTAGCCCCTCCCTGATTGACGCTGCTGACAACACGTGCTTCATTAACTTGGCTCCAGCTCAGGCAGCGGCTCACTTGCCCATGGGAGCGGAGCAGAAACTGGGACTGTTGTGGAGGCCACACCACGTTTGGATCCATTATAGTTTGAATTTGTCGATGTTTAAGTTGTCAGACATAAAAAAGCACAGTTAGTATTTGGACATGTTACAGTAGAACAAACCAACTGAAACCAGTTTATGAGAAAAACAACCATCCTGATGACCATGACTGATGCACGCTGTGTTTATCTGTAGCGTTCGTAACCCCCTCAGTTCAGTTCATGGCAGTTTGATCTGAGTCCATGCTGACGGTTGGAGTTTCATTTGAACCAACAAGCCCGTGATTTGTGCAGTGGTTTGTTCCCAGTTACATGCAGTGGCACAAATATCTGTGTTCATGTAGTTGCGTGTTTGTTACGTGTGCGACGTGTTGCAGCTGTCTGCTCTGACATCCATGACCTTGTTTTACTGCACTGTAAGAATCCTGAGGTGCTGTGCAGGTCCAGTTAGCACTCTGCAAAGTAAACATGGAGGATTTTAAAGTTCACAATATCAGGCAGGGAGCCTTTAACTAATGTCCTCCCCTCTCTGTGCGAGGGCCAGC